GGTTCTGCCTGGGTCCAGCCGGTGGCGCAGCTGCTGCCGGTTTGCGTTTCCCATGCGCCCCCGAGCGCTTTGCTCCTCGGTGTGGGTTTCCAAGCAAATAGCAATGAAAAAGGCAGTGTTTATAGGCGGTGGGCTGCTGAAGTGCAGAGAAGGTCTCAGGGCAAAGACACGAGGCACCTCCTTGAGACCGCACCGCGGTCCGCGCGCTCCGCGGAGAGAGAAAGGAGCGAAACGCGAGCGATGCCTTCCACGAAGGCCGCCGCGTCCCTGGGGCGGCGCGCGGCGCAGGCGGCGTCTCCGGGTGCGAGCCCTGTGGGAAGGGAAAGGAGAAGTGTGTTAGGTTCAGGGGTGGAAAAAAAGGTGCTCTCTGGTGTTTTACGTGCTTTTAAGTGGACCGAGGTTTAGATGCTCCCCTCCCCTCTATTTGCAGCAAAATGTGCAAAGAAAAGTGCCTTAAAAGGCAAATATTCCTAGTTTTCTGATCCCTTTTTGGAGAAGGGGAGTAAACTGCTCTTCTGTTGAATGCACTGATTATTTGGAATAAAAATGGAGAGAATTGTGCTTTTAAAGGATAAAAGGCACTTATTTTCTGAAATGCAGCTTTCAAACAGCTCCTCGGGGGCTTTTTGCAAAGTGTTCAGCTTTCTGTGATAAACGTTGCTAGACCCCCACCGATGGACACCCCTGAAGTGGGGCTCTCTGCAGCAGGACAATGGGTCGGGATAGAGGATGAGGCAATAATTCAAATAGTCCTCACAGAGTTCCTCTGAGGTCACAGTGTTTCTGCTGGAGCTGGTTGGAAGGCAGTGTTTGTTGTTGGCTTTTTTTTTACTTTCTGCAGAAAAAACTTGAGCAATTTTTCCTGAACACACATTTTTACTCAGCTAAACAAATTTTTTTTTTGGCGCTTCCATGGGAGGCTTTCAGACAGCTTAGGTGGATGCTCTCTCATGGAGCTGTAAGACATGCATGGAGACATGACTGAGTTTTCTATCTGCTTTTCCACCCTGAACATCTGGAGATCCTTGGTCTGAGCTCCCCTGGCTTCGCTCGGTGACTGTCGCTGATCAGGTCCTGAACTGTGACGGGGCAACCTGGGACTTTGCCGTTTGCACAGAAGTGGGCTGGGTTTTTTATATGTGTGTGGTGTGTGTATGTGTGTGTGTATATATATATATGTGTATATATA